GTGTGTGTGTGTGTGTGTGTGTGTGTGTGTGTGTGTGTGTGTGTGTGCATGCGTGCGTGTAGGTGTGTGTGTGGCTAATAGACAGACCTCCAAAATGAGTCCTGGGGCTGACTGATAAGACGGTGAAAGGAAAGAAAAATTGTTTTATAGTCAAAAAAAGGTAATGGAATAAGTGCGCAAATTCACCTAGTGCTGCTGGGAGAGAAACACACCCACATTTACCCAGGATGTATTTAGGCCTCCTTCATGCCCTAGTTTCACTCATACACTCAGCAGCCTCACATTAAATATGCAGCAGAATGACTGTAAGCACCAGCACGCACACACAAACTCAAAAAACTCACGCACCTGTCGAGCTGTATTAGCTGTAAAGGAAGGGGGGGGGGGGTGTCTGGTGTCAGGTGAAGGTGAGGTCAAATGGAGCGCGAGTATGTGCTGCGTCCGCTTTGATCGCTCGCACACAGTGTTCACATTTGTGCACAAGCTTTTTGCACGTGGCACCGGATTGTTCGCTGTCTGTTTGTGTATTATATGCGCGTGTCCACCGGTCTACCAAGTATGCCCACTGTCACAGCAGATCCAGCCTGACAGCCGGCTAGGGCAAAGGGAAGAGGTGTGCCTCTGAGAGACAGTATCACTGCTCTGTTTGTAAAACAAAGCTGACAATTGGGAGAGGAGAAGAGAAAGAGAAAAAAAGAGAGAGAGAGAGAATGACTAAAGCACAAGGAATAAAAAGGCAGAGAGGTGGAGATGTCTGCGGAAGAAACCCATGAAGTAGTTATCAGTACCAAACAGAGCAGCAGCCAGGGGAGAGGAAGTGGGCCTAGTATGGATGGCTGAAGCGTCAGCACCGAGTTGTGTCCGTCTAATCACTGCATGCGTCTCCCAAACAAAGCCCGGGCTGCAGTTTACATGTGTCCACCCATGGAGAGACACTACATGCGATGAGCAGCAGCGTCTGACTCAGAGCTTCAGTCTCAATGAGTTCAGGGAGAATATGAAATATGAATCAGTTTTAAAAACAGAAGTCACACTGGTAAAGGCACATGTATTATGAAGGGACTTATAATGTTTAATGAGGATCTCATTAAGGAAATGGAGGGACGAAGGAATGCAGTGATAAAAAGAAAGAAAGATGGCAGAAAGTTAGTGAAACATTACAGCGAACAGTGAAGGCTGTGAAGAAAAAGGTTACGGACAAAGAGGATAAGATAATAAGTGAGGAGGGAAGGAAGGATGAAGAGAACAAAGGAGAAAACGAATAAAGTCGTAAAGGGAAGGATATAGGAGGCAAAAGAAAAGGCAAATATATATATATGATGCAGTTAAGGACGATTAGAGGCATGTGAGAAGTTTAGGAAGGAAGGGTTTTAGTGAGAAAACAAAGTAGTAAGGAAAGAGTTATGGAAAGAGAAGGACGCACAGGGAAAGACAGAAATCCTCCATAGAGACACATGTATACAGGCCTCATGATCAAACAGAAGAACAGCTCATCCACTAGTTCATTCCCCAAGCTGAGGATCTGAAATAGCCGCATGTGAATATTTATATATGCCTATGTTCCTTTCCAAAGGCAAAGAGGCCAAGCAAAATTGATTTCTCTGTGTGAATCCCCGAAGAGTTGAGACTCAGCAAGAGAAAAGCAGAAAAGAGCAAGGGAGAGTGAAAAGAAAGAAATGAAGCACTAGAAAGAACATTGGGAGATTTTGTGAAACATGAGGGCGAACTAAGACATGAGAGACACCTTCAGGGAAATGCAAATGTATGTTTCCACCAAACTGATGCATATACACCATTTGTCCCGTATTCTCTCTCTCTCTCTCTCTCTCTCTCTCTCTCTCTCTCTCTCTCTCTGTCTCCGAAGCAGAATGTCCCAAAACGACACGTCCATCACGCACCAGCTCACATGCCTTACAGTACCTCCCCGTGAGCGCCGTTTAACACCAGCCGTCTTTTCAGTACCATAACTCCATCAGGCTTCATTACACTCATTACAGGCGGATATCTGATTTTAATTAGGAGGAATGTCAAAGTGCGGGGCCGTAATGGAGGCGACGAGGACGTGCTTTCCTGTTCGATCCAACCCGAGCTGTCGAGGGACACAAAACGTCCGTTTCCATTAAAAACATTCACTCGCACTTTTGCTGTACATTTATTGACGGCTTTTAGGCCATCTTAGTCCAAACTCGCCACACCAAGTTGTTTCGTTCTTCAATATGTCTTTCTCTTTTTAAAAGGTTAACAAAAGTTCATGTGCACATTAACTAAAAGGGGAGCAGTCAGACACAGCTGGGGACATTTTCAACCTTTTCGGCAGAAGACACTGGCACCAGGAAATCTGAGAAATGGCATTTGAATACGTCTTCATCATCTGCTGCGCATGCTGAATCAAACATGTCAGTGTGTTTTCCTCAGTTTTACAGTCTTGCTGCAGCTTCATCAAATGTTTCGTCATCCTGGACGAATGTTCGAAACAACTGAACGTCTCTGTATCTGCACTGTAACATGGCGAGCTGCGTTGTTCTCAGAAACAATATTTGTGTTTCTAACTACATTTCTGTTCCCTCATCCAAACTATCTTGAAAAACAGATCAAACAAATCAATTGAAGCACATCTGTAGAGAAGAGACAGCTGAATAACACTGACGAACCAGGCTTGAATATTTGTGGGCCTAAATAATAACTACTGCGGAGAGCAAAACAAAGACAGTAGTGACTATTTTGGACCAAACATACATGAACAAGAGTCTACAGGAACACTGGCAGCTCTGTGAGACTGTACTTAAGCACTTTAGAGCTAAATGCCAACATCAGCATCCTAATTTGCTCACGATGATGACACTGAAGTAACGTAGAGTGGCCGTAGAAGAAGTGACATGAGAGGGTGGAGTGTTGTACAACAGAACGCTGAATAAGACATGTTTAGGTTACCTTTCATGAACTGAAAACACACTGTGAAAGGGTTAAAGTTGTAAGACAAAAACACAGACAACTCCTACAACAGACAACGGCGTAGTAGCGACCTGTCAATCACAAGGTAGCCCCGCCCTAAAGCATACCCTGCCTTATTGTCTATTTTACTCTAAATGGGACTATATTTTACGAAATGAACAACATGCTCGACTTGAAACTAGCGATTGAGACCATAAACTCATGTCCACAGTTTTTACTGAGGTAATAATTCAAGTGAGAAG